AAAGGGGAAGTCGAAAGTCTCTGTTAGGAGGGGTCCCAGGTGGAGCCCTGCCACAAGACTGGGATCCTGTGGGTCTCACAGGACCTGCTGCCATAATAGCGGGAGCAGGTAAAATGTACTTTGTGGCAGGCAGGACTGGGCGGGCAAATAAACCAGACTGCAGTAATTTGCGGAAAAACACTAAACCTCTCATCAGTTTGTCATAAATAGAATTTCAGCAAAGTAAAGCAAGTTTTTCTTTTTTTTAAATAAAGGTTTTAACACTTAAATTTAAGCAAGGGATAGAAAGAGGTTTGATGTCTATTATACCAGGAGTTAAAATGTTTTTTAGGGCTGTCAATCATAGTTAACTCAAGTGATCAGTGCAAAACAAATTAACTAGATTTAAAAAAAAATTGTAATTAATCACAATTTTAATCTCACTGTTAAACAATAATAGAATACCCATTTAAATTTATTATAAATATCTTTGGATGTTTTTCTACATTTTCAAATATGTTGATTTCAGTTACAACACAGAATACAAAGTGCACAGTGCTCACTTAATATTATTATTTTTATTACAAATATTTGCACTGTAAAAAAGATAAACAAAAGAAAGAAAAATTTTCAATTCACCTCATACAAGTACTATAGTGCAATCTCTTTATTGTGAAAGTGCAACTTACAAATGTAGATTTTTTTTGCACAATCTTTGCACTCAAAAACAAAACAATATAAAACTTTAGAGCCTACAAGACCACTCAGTCCTACTTCTTGTTCAGGCAATCACTAAGACAAACAAGATCGTTTACATTTATGGGAGATAATGCTGCCCGCTTCTTATTTAAAATGTTATCTGAAAGTGAGAACAGGCATTCGCATGGAACTGTTATAGCCGGCATGCAAGTATTCACATGCCAGATACACTAAATATTCATATGCCCCTTCATGCTTTGACTTGTAGATTGCACTATTTTTAAAATCTTTTTTACAGTGCAAAAACTTGTAATAGAAATAATAATATAAAGTGAGCACTGTACACTTTGTATTCTGTGTTGTAATTGAAATCAATATATTTGAAAATGTAGAAAAATATCCAGAAATATTTATAATAAATTTAAATTGGTATTCTATTATTGTTCAACTGTGTGATTAAAGCTGCAATTCATTGCAACTATTTTTTTTAATCTCATGATTAATTATGATTATTTTTTTAATTGTTTGACAGCCCTAATTTTTTTACATGGTTAAAGCAATATTTGTTTTATTCTTTAAGTGGTAAAAATTGCTTCTAAATTCTGTCTGTGTGTGTGTATATATATATATATATATATTAACCATTTTTTTTTTTTTTTATTTTGGTAGCAGGGGAATCTGTGTCTCTTGCGGTTTTTGCGGAATCTAAGGTTTTTGCGGGTGGAAGTGGGATAAAAGTGAAAGAAACAATGCGGGAGCCATTGGGAGTGGGCATTGCAGGGTGGGACGGGGGCGGGATTAAAAAATAGTCCCGCGTAGGGCTCAGGTCCCAGGTGTTCTTTCCTCTCTCGTACCATCAAGGAAGGTCAGAATCACATTTGGTGCCTCTCCTTGCACTGACTTTTTCCAGGTCATTCAGAGCTCTCGTTTTCAGAGTGCTGCTCATATTCCAAGTCATATGCCACTGGAACATGAGCAGAAAACACCACACTAATATTTCAGCCTTTATGGGGTAAGATGGGCCCCCGTGACTTGCTGCATATTTGGCCGCACTATCTGAACTGGCCCTGCAGTTTAAACATGTAGAGCAATTATGATGAGGAGGACAGACTTATAAAGGACAAACATTAGTAAGAGAGAGAAGGGTGTCTAGTGGTTAGGGCACTAGTCTGGTACTTGAGAAACCCAGGTTCGGTTTCCTGTTTTGCCACAGACCTTGGGCAAGTCATGTCTCTCTGTGCTTCAGTTCCGCATCTGTAAAATGGAGATAATAGTATTTCCTTATCTCACAGGGGTTTTGTGACGATAAACACAGTGAAGGTTGCAAAGTGTTCAGGTTCTACAGTGCTGGGGGCTATATAAGAATCATAGATAAATATTCTGCTTTTGCTACCTCCATGCTACCTGAATGAATCCATGTATCTGAGCGCAAATGTGGTTTCCTGTGTCCTCTTCGGTGCAGCATGGTGCCAAGCCTTCTAAGGCCAAAACCCAACATAAAGCTACTGAGGGGAAAATGTCAAAAAGGGTGTGCACAGCTGTGTCAATCTGGTATTTGAAACAAAAATCCTATATACTACAGCTCAGCAAGTGGAACATAGTTTCGAAGTGTAGCTTTGAACTCTGTCATTTTGAGTTTCATTAAGTGTTAGGGTACACCAAGGTATGAAGTTACAGTTTAATATCAGTGCTCTCGAGGTGTTCTCAGAGATACAAGGTAAATTCAAGTATATTGAATTAACCTTTGGGCTGTTGCTATTTAACCAAGTAAGACCTGGAGAGACTGTGAGATATTTTTCAAAAATAAATACTTCAATTAAAATCTGAACAATCAGTTCAAACATAGAAGACCTTTGATTCAGCTATTAATCAGTACCGGTTGGAATCTGTAGTTTTCGAAAAACACTTCGTTAGCTGTTGATTCTTGTACGATATGTTGTTTGCAAGCCTATTTACAAATGTTGGGCCAAATTCTTTTCTGCACTGAAGTCATTAGAGCTTCACCAGCTGGGAATTTGGTCCATTGGCAGGATTAATTTGTTGTAAATTCAATGACACCTGTGGCATTTTCCAAAGGTAGATACTGCACCTTTTTCCCAAGGTAGCTAATATAACTAAAACAAAGATTAATCGTTTAAAACGGCATATTGGTAAAGACAGCTATTCAGTTTACTGTGTTTGATTTATAAGATTATTGAGATAGCATGCAATGCATTACAAATCACTGGAATTGGCTGGTATAAACTGAAAGCAGAATTTAGCTTTGGAACTCTAAGAACTTCTCAATTTCCTTTTCTCCTTATATCCACGCTCAAGTTATAGTTTGTGAACAGGTTATTAAACCCTATGAGGAAAGTAAACTCAGTGCATCTTGTAAGGAGTGTTTTTTAACTGGTGGAATATATTGAAAATGTCCGTTTCAGAATTTGGGCCCAGTTAGTGTAAACTGAAGGATCTGGCCCATATCCTTTGTAATAGGATCGTTATATATGACCTGCTTGTGGGTGGCCCTTGAGTGAGTACACAGTGTGAAGAGCAGGGCACAAAGAGCCTTCCCTCACTTGTGCCCCCACCATCACCCTAGCAAGTTCCATCTACAATTGCACAATCCCACAAGGTACAGTGAAGAGATGAGGCCATGGCCCCACCCCTCTTCTCCACCAGCAACAGAGCTGGCCACCATCATAAAGGGGAGTATATTGTGAAGGGGTGTAGCAATAGGTGTGCTCCCTTGTGCACTGGAGAGCTCTGGGAGGCACCTTCACCTACTCAGGGCTATAAGCCAATCTAAGGGCTAGGTATTCAGAGGTTCTGAGCACCCACAATTCCAGTTGAAGTCAATGGGAGTTGCAGGAGCTCTGCACCTCTAAGGATCAGGATGTAGTGTAGCAAAGTGTGATGAACCTTGGAGATGTATAACATAGGTATCATATACGTTAGCCACTGATTATAAATAAATATAAGCATATGCTGTGATCACACAAACTGACAAAATTAAGTGTGCAATGCTAAAAATCCCCATCTCGTGTAAGTAGGCTTGGCAAAATTCAATCCTTAATTTTTGATAATATCAATGTATATTTTTAAGCATTTTTTTAAGAATTTTATCAATTTAAATTTTCAGAGCTGCAGAACATTATGGGGGGATCAGACAATGGGGAGGATCAGACAATAATTATTTGATGACAGTAGATAATGAGAATCAAAAAGTTAGTTTTATAATTGTTAAAACACAAATTGTCAACATCACATGTAAAAATATACAAAGTAAATAGCCTTAAATGAAACTGTAATAATTTCTCTAGCAGCAACTTTCTTACTTTGCCTAACTGTAAATTTTGATTATTATTGATGGAAATATTATTTTGTCAATTTGTGTGCCTACAGGGAAATGGATGTTTGTCAGCATTAACCAATAAAAATCTAATTCTTCCGAACTTACATATAAGTAGTCATATTTCTTCCAATGGTCATTCATTTGGAAAATGTCTAGTTTTCTAAGGGTTAATCATATTTTTAATCGAATGTCAGAATCTGGCTCAAAAAAATATTATGCCTGTAAAAGATTTTCATTCTCTGTAGCTTTTGATGGTGTCAGTGAGCAGGGACTTGTACTGTAAGTCCGTCCACTCTGGTTTTAAAGTTCTTTTACAAATAATAATTTTTTTTAAAGAAAATAGAATTGGTTTGTTTTTTAGATTTTGCTTCACTGTTAACATGCGAAGGGAATTTTAGCTATTTATTTCATTGCCTCACAAACTATCCAAAACAGGAACAAAATTTACCAGTTACACCAGGAAGAAAATGAAAGAACAGAACAGAAATATTATCTGACGTGAAATCCCAGCAGCGCTTTTAATACAATGAACTGTAGTATAACTTTTACCAAGTTAAGAAGATTATTTTATTTTAGCCATAAAAAGTTATCTGCTTTAAAAGGGCATTTAAGACAGGTCCTCTGTTATATAAGTGTTATGCTTTTTCAAGTTTAGTATGGCAATTAATGTCAGTCAGAACTATTTCCTGAAATATGAACCAAGGGTTTATTTAATTTTGGGTCTTAAGTATTTTCTTCTTCAGAATAATAAATATGCAAGATATAGGATCTCTTCTGCATAAATGCCACATTCTGTGAATACAGGAGTACATTTTGATACATTTAAAATAATTCTTAGTAATGATTTTAAATGTAAAGCAATGATTTATTCCTGTCAGTACTGCAATGAGCTTTCATATAAAAAGTTCCTTTTTACTGAAGACTTTGATTCATTTGGCAAGGTCTCAGCTGTCATATTCTTAACAATGTTTTTGTACTTTGCAAGCTCCTCCTAGAGAATTGACAGAGGAAGAAAAACAACAGATTCTCCATTCAGAAGAATTCCTGATATTTTTCGACCGAACAATACGTGTAATTGAGCGAGCTTTGGCTGAAGATTCAGACATATTCTTTGACTACAGTGGCAGAGATGTAGAAGAGAAAGATGGGTCAGTTTTTTATTTTTTTAAATAACACCCCACTCTAATGTATATTGAAGAAAAGCTGATAAAGGTGCATCTTTAAAAAAACAGAATACTGTACAGCGAGAGACGATTAAACCTCAGAGGTTGATACGTTTGAAAGTCTATAATCAGTGTGTTATACTGAATTATTTTGTAAAATAGCTTCATGGTTGATTGCACTGATTTCTTTTAAAATTCTTATTAGAGCTAGTCTAAATTTTTTGAATTTCAATATTTTGAAAACATTTCAAATTTTGATGAAAACAAGGAAAATACTGGGGAAAAATGATTTTTCCCTCTGATTATTATTTGTCATTTCATACTCCTTTTTAAACTTTGGACCAGATTTTTATGGGTAGTTAGGCACCTAAAGATGTGGAAAGGCTCATGGTATCTTCAAAAGTGACTAGGAGCCTAACTTCTATTGGAGTTGAAAATCCCCTAATGTTCCTTACTACTTTAAAAATCTGGCTCTTTGCAACTGAGCTACTGACTAGATCATCAAGAGGAATCTTCAGGACAACTTCTTCATTATGATTCTTCTTTATTATAGCACTATCTTTCAGATAATATAAAAAAAATCAAGGTCTTGATCACCTGTGTTCATTAATATGTCATTATACATTTCAAGGGTAGGGTGTTAGTTCTGAAATCTTAGCTAGTTTCCACCTGGAGTAATTGCATTCTGCCTAAATGAGGGCTTGTCTACATGGTCAGTGAGTGTGTGACAAGCCGTGAATCTACAACACACTAGCCTGCTGTGCACTAACTGGCCATGTGGACCCTGCTGTGGTGCACTAAAAGTTCTGTGGTGCAAAGTGTACACGGCAAAGTGTACTACGGAACATTTAGTGTGTGGTAGCAGGGTCCACCCAGCCGGATACTGAGTGGCAGGCTAGAGAACTGTAGATTCATACCCTAGTTTCGCACGCACTAAGTCTTTGTGTGGACAAGCTCTAAAATTCCCCCCCCCCCGCAGTTTTAATTGGATACAGTATTCTTCATGTACTGCCCACTACTGAACAGCTGCAGTTCACCCCAGAGGTTCCTGTGATTCCTCTACACAGAGTTTATACAGCCAGTTAATACAATCTGTGAAGTATTTGGATCCATGTAGCTGAAAGGCGCTATGTAAATGCAAGATCACAATAATTAAATATCTTTAAATTAAAGCAAGAGTTTCTTTGTCTAAAGTTCAAGAAGAATCATGAAGACACAACTTTGAACAGCCTAATCCGTTGAATCCACCCTTCTCCTCACAGAGCCAAACCTAAGTGGGGTTAGGGGTGATGGAATCTACTTCTCAACTGCCAGCCCGCAGGCAGACCACAGGGCTTCTGCTGCTGTTCTAGCCTGTGGGTTGGAATAATAGCAACTGCCCGTCTGTGGAGCTGCCCAGCCACTGAATCTTTATAAGCATAAATCCAGTGCCCCTTCCACAAGGCTTGCTCCTTTTTGTGCTGTTCTATTTGGAGCTGGTGCAGAGTCCATCTTTCCACACAAAATGGGTTTGGAGGTTGTCTTCTGAGAAGTATTAGTGCTCCTTACCAGGCTACCATGGGGCTTCCATGACATTAGGGTTGCCAACCCTCCTGATTTGGCCAGGAGTCTACCGGAATCGGCCTCAATCTCCCGGTGACTATTTAAAGCAATCTGGGAGTTTTTAATAGGCCAAAAGTCTGGTCGGTGGTGCAGCA